TCTTCCAGCGGGCAGGGAGCAGGGTGCAGGCCAGGCCTCTCCTGTGTGCTCTGGCATGGCTGCAGCTTTGCTCAAGATCTTGTGTTCTGCTGAGCCCTTTCTGTGGGAGGTTCAGCTGAGGACCATGTAGGAACTGGGCGGGCAGTGACCGCAGCACTGAGGGCTTGTCCACTAGCGCCCAAAAGTACCATCACGGTGAGCATGAAGCTTGGGGACCACATCAGGCAGCAGCTCCTCAGGAGCTGCAGAGACATCCCTGGCTGCACTCCCTGGTACACCTCTTTTCCAGAGGTTGAAGGGCTCCTCCGTGCTCTCCCCAGGTGCCTGCTGCTACAATTCTTCCCTAAAAAAAAAAAAAAAAAACCAAACTGGGAGAAGCAGCACTTTTACTTCTGATTCTCCTCCTGAGTCAGGCTTCCTCTGTGCAGTGAGCAGATCTTGTGTGGCAGCGAGGACACTCTCCGTGCTCCTGGTATGGAAACCCACCACAGATGTTTCACCCAACTGCCTTGAGTGCAGACAGGGACAATGGGGACCTTGTCCATACAAAGGTGGAGGTGACATGTACATGTCTGGGGGAAGGAGGGCATTGCGTTTATTCCTGCTTTATCTTCACACACTTGCTTAACCTCTTGTGATAGCATCTTTCTGAGAACTGAAATTTGGAGGCTCAGCTCTGCCTGTAGCAGCTTCATATTTTTAAAAATAGCCAACAGACAAAGACACTGCCCCCACCCTTCCTGCCTGCGCTTGCAAAAGCCCCCAAGATCTTGAGAGATAGTCTCAGGCAGTTCCTTAATCAACCCTGGCTGCATTTCTTCACCTCTTGCTCACTCATGTAACTGCTCCAAGGCTATTTCACAGCTTCTTTCCTGGTTCCTCTTTAAAAACCCTATCCCAGATCTGATCCCCACTAATCTTAGGCATAAGGGAGGATGCAAAAGCAGCGCTACAAATGTCTCAGCTTTCTGCACCTCATTGGTTAATGACTCTTTCTTGGTGAAGCAATAGGGCAACCTTTTACTTTTCCTTCCTCTTCTTTTTGAGGCAGTTAAGCAAATGCAGAGCTTTTCACAGCGGTTGTTGGTCTTAGCTCTTTTGTACCTTAGCTTTCTGATTTTGCCTCCGCAGTTTAGTGATCACGTCATTCTGTTCATGTCCTTTGTTGTTTTCCCTTTCCTCGTGGCCTTCCTTTGTAAACAGTGGGATGCTGAAGAACTGCTCTGCAGCTGTATTTGCCCCCCTGAAGCTTTCCCTTTTGCTTCTGCAGAGGATAACTGGCTGCCAAGGCTTTAAATACAAGTCTCAGGTGTCCTGCTCAGCTCTTCTTGGAGTCAGGAGCAGTCCCTCTTAGTTGAAGTCAGCTTTTTTTTAAACCCTTTCCTTCTTAGAATAACAACACTGGTCATTTCATGCTATAGGAACGTGAGAAGGGCTGTGCTAGGCCA